AACTACAAAATGGGCCTTTGAAAGATGTTATTAATGAACTCGAATTTTATTGTCGATACATGGATGATACTTTTTTGATTATGAAGAATGAAAATGAGGCAAAGGACATCCTGGATAAATTTAATGAGGTACATCCTGCAATAAATTTTACTACTGAGAAAGAAAAAGATTCTAGTATTTCATTTCTAGACGTCCTTATGACCAGAAAAGAGGATGGCACAATAAGAAGAAATGTGTATAGAAAACCTACATCAACGGGCCAGTACACACATTTTCTCAGCTTTGTGCCCTTGAAATACAAACGCAATCTAATAAAGTGACTGGTCCACAGAGCAAGAGAGATTTGTTCGGATGAATGTCTTGACGAGGAGCTTAACAATATTAAACGTTTGCTAAGTGAGAATGGTTATCCTGAAAAGTTTATTGATAAGAATATGAATCTAAAACCAAAACAATCCAAGGTACCAACAGTTCCAAAGAAATCCTTGTTCTTACAGATGCAGTTCCTAGGAGACAACACAAGTGAAATACTAACACATCGTCTCAGAAATGCAGTAAAAAGAGCATTCCCTGCTGCTCAATTGCGCTGTATCTTCAAAACCACTCCTCTTCTGCGTTCGGGAATAAAAGACAAACTGCCTAATTTCGCCTCTTCCATGTGTATATACCAATTTAACTGCTCCTGTGGAGTGAGCCAGTTACATAGGCCGTACAATTAGGCGTGTTTCTCGTCGAATTTCCGAACATCACCCTGCCTGGTTAAGCAAAGGACAAACAAAATCTATTCGCAGTGCTATTCTGGCGCATCTTGTGGAGACAGAACACAAGATTGACGTTAATCATGCTTTCAGGGTCATTTACCGCATACCTATGAATCTCAATTTCGCTTTAAGAGTTCGACTTCTAAATATTGCTGAGGCTGTGGGGATCCATATTAACAAGCCTAATTTATGCACTCAAAAGAAGTTAGTCCAGTCATTATCATTACCTTGGCCATCCAGGTTTGAATAATCCAGAATTTTTGTGAAATTTCCCTAATTTTAGTTGATATTCTATTCGCTGTTATATCTTTATTATTATTATTATAATTTAAGCATCTTTAATGAACTGCAATAGCATTGATCATACTTTACAAATCGATATTATTTAAAAAAACGCTAATATTGTTATTGACTACTATTTTAAAATATTCTGTGTGTAAAAACATATATATAATTGTAGAGCCTGGAAGAGGAATTTATCGAAAAGAATATTCTTTGCTCGATTATTTTGTTTTTATAGATGTCTGAATGAACATTTTTGCAATATTAAAAAAATGGTTGTTGAACAAAGAATACTCTTTTCGATAGCTTCATCATCAGGCTCTACAGTAGTTATATGTACATTATAGTGAATGAATGAATTAGTGTTATGAACGACAATAATGTCGTTGTTTAAATAATATCGAATCAATAATAATAATATTAATATCAGTGGATTACAGTTCGATAGTATCAACATAACAGTACACTGAATATCAGAAAAATTAGGAAAGATAATAACAATACGAATTCATGGGTGTATAGTCTCCACCGAAGGCCGGTCACTGCAGTAATAGTAGCTGGACTTGTTTCTTTTGAACACAGAGCACTGGTTGTTTCACGCGAATGGCGATAGCCCCTGCTGTTTTGAGCATGTGGTGCTTCGATATATTTGGCAATTTATTTAGTACCCGGTAGATGATAGAGAAGGATTCTTTAATGTTGGCTGGTTTTGTGGCCAGTTTGAACCAGATGGTCTAATATCGAACAGTTGACGGTTTTTACTACACCTTTACTTAGCCATTCTGGGAGATGTTCTCACCAACAGCTCTACTCTAATATAATATGGCTTTACATTTAAGTTATACGAATTATAAGGTGACGTTAGTGAATAAGAACTATCAGTTTTAAGACAGAAGAAGTGAAAATAATTATGTAACTGGAAATTAATTTTCAAGTAATGGTTTGTAGGGATTTGATTGACTGGTTACAGGATTTCGTCATGAGCTGACATCGGTTGGAGAACCATTGGAAAAACAGGCAGGGAGTACTGCCAGACAGCTGTTTCGTCAGCCTGGTTTGGGACTAACCCTTCAGCAGTACGCACTCACCAGAAGGGCTCGAACCCAAGACTAGTGAGCTCGTAGACCATTAAGCCACTGAGACCCGCCAATCCATAGGCAGACTCATGAATTTCAACTTCTACCAATTCATGATATAGCGCGACTGGCACTAGCCAATGTCATCGGTGATGAGTATTTCTCCTCACAGCCGACCTGCTGCACCCTACTGGTCATGTGTAGAGGTTAGCAACAATTTATTACGTAATCAGTCATTTCTAAGGTAATGATGATAAGGAAGAACAGATAGATGGACCAAGTAAGTATACCAAGATACAAATTTTATTTATTTTTATTTATTCCTTTGCGTTCACAGTGGAACATAGGGCTTCAAGCTAGAGCTTCGAAGTTTCGGTAGCAGTGGTTTTACTTTTACCTGGTGGAGTTGCTAGTCTAAAGTCCAAGCTTTCCTCTTTATCAGTCTTATTACTGGCTTAGCTAGGTAAAAGAGTACGTCGGCCGGGGATCGAAACCTGGACCACATGCGTGGTTGGTGAGCAACTTTCAACTGTGCCACTCACGCACTAGAACGAATAATAGTGGTCACAATATTCGTGAGTCAGGAGTTTAATGTTTGCATGCCCAAAAGCCCCATATATACAGTGCGGGTTCGATACCTGGCCGACATTCTTCTGGACCTTCACTAGTTTGATAGCCAGCGGTGAGCTCGGAAAAGAGGGAAGGATAAGTGTGGAACTAGCAACTCCACTCCGTAAAATCAACACCACCACCGCTGAAACTCCAAAGCCTAAAGGCCTACGTTCTACTTGAAATATAGAGGGTAAAATTGTCACTGTTGGGTATCAGTGCGTTGGTGGCACAGCGGTTAGGACGCTCGCTGACCATGCACATGGTCTAGGGTTCGATCCCTTTACCTCGCTAAGCCAGCAATAAAAAATGCTGGTAAAGAGGAAAGGTTGGGCATGAGGCTAGCAACCCAATCCTGTAAGAATAAACACTGCTACAGAAAATTCAAGCCTTCCAGCTTGAAGCCCTATGTTCCACTGGGAACTTGAAGGAATAAATAAACAAAAATTGGGTATCGAGAATGATAACGAGTTGTCTTCAGTTATAGAAGCAGTTAAAGCCCTCTCGGAAGTACTGGACAGTTGTTTCTCTTCCCCTTGGGACTCTTCATCAATATGCACCTACATTCCCCTGCTGCTAGCCTCATGCCCGCCAAACTTTCCTCTTTACCAGCTTTATTTTTGGCTTAGCCAGGTAAAGAAGTGTGGCGTCGGTGGCCGGGGATCGAACCCTGGACCATGTGCATGGTCGGCGAGCGTCCTAACCGCTGTGCCAACGACGCTCTTTCTCACTTCTGCCAGCACTTAAAAATTATTAAATATTTTGCATACCTCACTTTATTTCTTTTACTTCATTTCAACTTAGGAAAGAACTACAGAAGTGATTGCTTTACGCGACAGAGTTACTAATGCCGAAGAAAGAGCAGATATAACTCAACGTGAAATAGATAAAGTCAGGGAGCGGCTAGCTGAAACAGAACGTGAAGCAAATCGCCTATCAAGAAGTTTATCAGCTGAACGATTTGAAAAAGAACGTGCTCTATCTGAATTACGGCTAAGCAGTCTACCAGCAGGTTATAGACCATCAGGTTATTCAAGGTAATCATAATCTTTCTTCTCTATTGTTGTTGTATTTAATAGAAAACAGATCCTAATTTTAAGTGTTGGTTTGTAGGGATTTGATTGGTGACAGGATTTTCATCATGAGCCGATATCAGTTAGAGAACCACAGGAAAACCTGTTAGGCCGGAAAAACTTCTTTGTTGAACGTGATTTATGCATCCTCTGATACAATAACCTAATTGGGAAGTCTTTGACTTGTTAATTTATGGCTTAAATTCATGAGTATAAAACTTGAGCACTATGGTGGTAGAGTGTAACTCCATTATGGATAAGATTTTATTTTGATAAAGGCACACAGTGTAGTGTTATACAGTAAAACTAACTGATGACCATGTTTCGAGCACAAATAATTACTGCTCATAATCTCATATCAAGTCACTCACGCACAACTTTTGACTTCACTTATATACATGAGTGAAACTGATGATTAGACATTTGAATAAAATCAATGCAGGATGATGTACATTCAGAAGTAATAATATGAGTGTTATCAATAAAATACAATCAGATGGGAAATATGAAAAAGAGAAGACGTTCAGCGAAGAGACTCTTTTCGGCGAATTCATTCACATAGGTGTACAATCGCATTTAAATACAATTATTTGTGTGTGTGTGTGTACTTGAGGTTTGTCAAGTTTAGATAATTGATCAGGTAATACAAGAATGATCTTAAATAGAAACAAGGTTAATCAGACAGCAACTAAAGTAAGGTTGAGTTAGTAAGTGAGATGACGTAATATAATTGACTAAAATGTTGCAACTTAGGTTAGGTAGACACTAAGTAGAAGTGGGGTAAAGAATAATGCCATTTAAATTAGAACTGAAATTAAGCAAATAAGTTGGATGATGTGGCATAAATGACTAAAAATTGAGCGTTGTTCAAGTCATTAACAGTGATAGTGAGGTGTAAAAATTAAATCGAGTGGGAGTAAAGAACAAGAAAGTTGAAAATGCAAAGTATTACAATTGAAAAGACAGATTAATACTAATAAAGAGACAGAAAGAAATAGAATTTACCCATTGGGTAATAAGATAGATTACGTCCATCGCAAGTGTAGTGATTGAACGAACTTCTTTTGTATACAGAGTTCAGGACTTAGCGAGTCAATCGCCATTGCTTCTGCAGTTTGAAGAAGTCTGATTCGTACACCTTTAGGAAGACTACTTCTTACTCTGTAGACGACTTTGAAATTTGCGTGGAGGATTTCATCATGAGCTGACATCAGTTAGAGAACCACTGGAAAACCTGGGAGTACTGGACAGCTGTTTCGTCCTAGTTTGGGACTCATCAGCAGTACGCACCCACCGGGATTCGAACCCAGGACCTTCTGGTTACAAGGCGAGCTCGTAGACCATTGAGCCACTGGGACCCGATCCAATGGTCCTTGAATTCTAACTTCTGCCAATTCACGACATAGCGCGACCATTTCGCAATGTCTTCTTAGATGAGTTACTGCCTCATCTCCAACCTGGCTGGGTGATGCCAAAGAGTCAGGCAACTGTGTAGCTAAAGCTGAGATCTAACAGAACAAGTGACTAACACAGCATTCATCAACGTTATTTCTAGTTGGGGTTAACAATCCAATCAAACAAACTCCCTACAAAACCAATACTTGAAAATTAATCTGATTCTCACTAGTGACTGGCCCTATTCAGGCAGTTAACCTGGGGTTCTAGTGGGAAGCCGTGACCAGTAGGGTACAGCAGGTTGGAGATGAGGCAGTAACTCATCTAAGAAGACATTGCGAAATGGTCGCGCTATGTCGTGAATTGGCAGAAGTTAGAATTCAAGGACCATTGGATCGGGTCCCAGTGGCTCACTGGTCTACGAGCTCGCCTTGTAACCAGAAGGTCCTGGGTTCGAATCCCGGTGGGGTGCGTACTGCTGATGAGTCCCAAACTAGGACGAAACAGCTGTCCAGTACTCCCAGGTTTTCCAGTGGTTCTCTAACTGATGTCAGCTCATGATGAAATCCTCCACGCAATCAAACAAAATCCCTACAAAACCAATACTTGAAGACTTTGAAATTTGTTTGTGGTGTAGCTTGGTGTCTGGATTCTATCAGATGTTCTAAGATGGAGGTGTGGGGGAATCGTTTTTCTCCTTTGGAAAACCATTCTGGTAAGTGTTCGGTGATACATTTGGATATAGAATATATATATATATGTGAATAAAAATTAATATGGGATAATGTACATTCAGAAATAATAATATGAGTGTTATCAATCAGGTACAATCAGATGTGATATAAGGCAAGTGTTTTTATAGTCAAAATAAGTAACTTCTTAGCTTCTTGACACATATAACCTCCCTAGTAGAGGGAATAAAATTCACATTTGAATCAGAAAGTGAACAAGGAGAATTAGCTATGATGTTAGATGCTAAAATAAAACTAATAGAAGAAGGTAAACTGCTCTGCACACTAGTGTGTATAGAAAACCAACGCATTCTAATAGATATTTAGACTTTAATTCATCTCATCCATTAACTGTTAAGGCTGGCTTAGTTAAGTGTTTAACAAACCGAGCAGTAGCACTAAGTAGTACAAGAAAAGACCTAAATGATGAAATTAAACAGACACAAGAGGCATTGGTGTTAAATAACTATCCTCTAAAATTCATTAGGAAGATCAGAAAAGACCAAAAGCAAAATAAAAATAATGGTGAAACTAATAATGATAACATAAATAAGAGAGAATATAAGTCATCTACTGTTATACCATATAGGGAGGGGACATGCGAGACCCTCCCCACTTAAGATTCTTAATAAAGCAGGAATCAGGGTGGTGGCATTCAAAACTACAAACTCACTCACTCAGGAACAAGCTATGTAGGCTAAAAGACCCGGTGGACCCAACTAGACAAAATAACATAATTTACCTTGCAATGACTGTAAGTGAGGTCAACTGCATAGGTCAAACTAGTAGATCGGGAGTAATCAGATTGGCGGAACATAAGAATTTAGCTAAGTTTAGAATGATTGACCCCGAGAAGATAAGTAATTTAGAAAAGAGCTCAGCAATTGCACTGCATGCAATAATACACAATTGGGTGGGAGAGGATTAAACTCCTAAGAAGTAATCTATGTAGGTGGAGTGCGAAAGAAATTGATTACTGAATCCTGGTTCATTGAGTCTACACCCAACGCATGCAACAGAAGTGACTCAATGCAAATACCAGAGATATGCATGGAAGATATTATTACCACCAGTCAGTCAAATCAGAGGAGGATAATAAATAATCTCAAAATCCTATTTCAATTCCATTCACGTACATCACAACATTCTAACAAGTTACATATTTTGACTATAAAAACACTCGTCTTATTTCCCATCTGACTGTATTTTATTGATAACACTCATATTATTATTTCTGAATGTGCATTATCCCATATTGATTTTTATTCAAATGTCTAATCATCAATTTCCCTCATGTATACAAATGAAGCAAGCCAGTTGTGTGAGTGAGTGACTTGATATGATTATGAGCAGTAATAATAATTTGTGCTCGAAACGTGGTCATCAGTTAATATTACTGTATAACCACACTGTGTGATTTATCAAGATAAAATCTTATCTATAATGCAGTTAAATTCATGAGGTTTATAAAACATGATATACCATGCATTTAGTGTAATAAAGGTTATTGCGTCGATGCTGTTGTTGTTATCTCTTGTCGTCGGTTTTCACAATCTGACATATGTGTCTGTCTTAGTATGGGAGACAATTTCAAGTTACCATTCGGTTGTATTATCATGTTCTGGAGGCGTATTCTAGTCACGTTAGACAACCCCACGAATCAGGCCAAGTTAAACTTTAAGCACCACTAACTACCAATCAGCGAATGACCTTGAATAGTCCAATGAGGTTCATTCATGTGAGTTCAATGTTGTATAGCGCTTGATTCGTATCAAGCTGTAATAAAAAAATAAAACAAATGCCTGCTCTAACGAAGTTACGTTCGCAGATCAATGAGTATAAGATTTTGCATTATTGCCTGGATTTGGGGTTGCTTGGGAAGGAGAGGATTTGTTCAGTGTGAACCTGTCATGAGTTTATAAAGCTTTAGCAGGTCGATCATTGTGCAATTTGCTTGAGACGAGTTAGTATTAGGGAAGGTAAGCTGATGATTTTTAATATTTCGTAGGAACATTTTTTGCTGGGTAGCATCTCTCCCTAACCCAGATTTTGTATATTTGCAATTACTGAGTTTTAAAACAGCCTGTGGGAAACGCAGCTGCTGAAACTGAAAATAGCCTCGTGTCAACAGTTCAGTGGTACCAGCACTGCCGAGACATTGCCTCCTGGAAAAGTGGAGAGAATTACTTCATTGTTGGGTGGAGAAGACATCGTCGTACATGTGGATGAAACTGTGTTACTGAAGAAAAAATACAACTGTAGTCGTGAGCGAGTCAAAAATGTTTGGGAGGTCAGTTTATATGACACCTCCCTGTAGAAAAGATTCGTGGAGAGAACACCAAAAAGAAAGTCTACTACCTTAGTACCTTTTGTCACTCGACTGGTGAAACAGGGATCCGTAGTACATACTGATGAATGAAAAGGTTATCACTCGTTGTCATCTCTCGGATATATTCATCACGGAGTGAACCATTCTAGTGGTTTTGTGGATCCAATTACAGGGACACACACAAATTCTATAGAAGGATTTTGGGGAAGATTAAAAAAGTAAATCATGATAGTAGTGATAGTGTTAATGAAAATAGTAATCATAGTAATATTAATATTAATAGTAATACCAATGACGACATGCAGGTCAAACATGCACGCGATAATGACAACACCAACAGTAAGGAATCTAAGTCATCAGTAGTAATTCCATATAAGGAAGGAACCTCGGAAACCTTACGCAGAATTTCTAACAAGGCAGGAATAAAAGTGGCTGGCATTCAAACCGACCACAAACTCAATTAAAAACAAGCTTTGTCGGTTAAAGGACTAATCTGTTGGAGCCTTTAAGACAAAACAATAACCTGCCTGCGATGATCGTCAGGTGAAATACATAGGTCAAAGTAGTAGGATAGGCACAGACTAGCGAAGCAAAAAATCCCAGCAGCAAAATCTAGATTAGTTGACCCTAATGAGATAAGAAATCTAGAGAATAGTTCAGCTATAGCACTCACTAAATGCAATTACACACAACCATACAATACGATGGATGGGATAAGATGGCAGTTTCAAAATCTAATACAACTAATATGGTGGAGGGAGAGACTGATAACAGAAGCTTTGTCCATCGAATCAACTGAGAGTGAATACGTGTAATAGGAGTGATTCAACACCTGTCCACCCAGATATCTGGAAAATTCTACTACCCCAATAGCGACTTATAGAAGAGAACAAAGAAAACTATAAAACTTAAGTTTCGAAGTCGTGTGATTATAATTGATGAAATGATTATGAACAATAATGAATTGTGTTCGGAACTTTGTCATCCAGTAAATAATAATGCTGCTTCTCACAATGTGATATATCTAATAAAAAAAATTATACGGAATTACATACTACCACAGTGTTCAAGTTTTACACATATATACTACCATATACAAACTGTTGGTTTTGACAAGGACTGGAAATTATAAAAAGAGAATACGTTGACATAGTGAAAACGTTTATTATATTTGTGTTGATTTCGTCACCTTAAAGTGAGTGAGCATACTGGATCCAGGTGAAATTATCTTACTCCGTCATTCCTGTTCACAATCTTTGTGAATTTTTCAAATTTTTGTTGGAATGATTTCAGTATCACCAAAATCAATCCTGCAACCTAATTCCATTAGTGTATTGACCTACGGTGGATGATTTTTCAAGCTGTTCCAGTTCCATTGGATGTCTTGGCAGTCATTTGACTTACAAATTCAGGTGTTGTTTCTTAAATGTTAAGCGCTGTAGATCACCGATGTCTTCATCACCCCTGTTTCCCCTATGTTCACATGAAATCTTGTTTTACTGTCTCTTCTGGTAACTTGCTGATTTTTGCTTGTATTTCTTCCAGTTTCTATGACATAAGACATGAATCATGCATGAAATCCACGATTGAAAAAACGAAATCATTCACTCACAGACTATTTATTACAACATATATCACCTTAGATGGAGGTCAACAGCACTCAACATCAAAATTAAGATTCGGATTTTCAACTCCAATGTGAAGTCAGTGCTACTATACGGATCAGAGACTTGCACTGCGCGTCATAAAGAGCATCTCAAACAAACTACACACCTTCATTAACAGTTGTCTTCGTTCAGTACTCAAGATCAGATGGCCAGAAAAGATCAGCAACAGAGATCCCTGGGAGCGAACCAACCAGGAACCGATTGTGAAATAGGCAGGTAGAAATGGAGATAGCTGGATTGGCCAAACTCTGAGGACACAAACCATCAAGTGACATCACTAGACAAGCCACTGCTCGAGTGGAAGCCGAAAGGGAAGCGGCGAGTTGGTCGTCAGTGTTGGGGTGACATGGAGGAGGAGGTCATGTGAAGAGGAGATGAAAATGTGTGGGCAGACCTGGAGCCAGGTGAAGACTCTAGCAGAGAACCAAACGCAATGGAGACGCACGGCTGAAGCCATATGTTCCTCTAGGAATTAAAGGAAATAATCATAATAATGATATCACCTTAGATATGTTGGAACTCCGTGTATTCAGAAAAAAATTTCAAAAGTCGTCAAAATTTGTGTCTCTATGTGTATGGGATTTACAAACGTCAGCTTGAACACAACCGTTAAACTTCTTAATTAAATAAAATTAATCTCAATTTTCTACACTTCTAATGGTTCAGGTGTCTCTTATCATGGTTATTTGCTTTATATTTATAGTATATCATAGCAAAGCACATCTGTCTGCTCAAGATTTAGCCCGAAGTTAAGTGTACTCATTTGATTTCAGGTTAAATCATGAACCGCCACCAGCTACAGAACCATTTAGAACTAGAAAGTACTGGATAGTTGTTTCGCCCTAGTCTGCGACACTTCAGCAGTACGCTTCCGAGGATCGAACTCAGAACCTACAATAGTCCATTGACCATTCAGATATTGAAACGGAATCTCATGAATCCTAACTTCCTGAATTTCTCCATATATCGATCCATCAATAGGTGATGTCGTGAGTGAGTATCTATCCGCATATCCGACTAGATTTAGTGATCAACAGTTCCAAGCTACGTTCGATCCATGGTAGAGTGATTGGTGTGTACTGCTGAAGAGTCCCGAGGTAGGACGACGAAATAGCTGTCCCAGTAATCCCTTATGGTTTTTAATAGCTCTCTAACTGATGTCACTTCTTGGTCATACTTGTAATCAATCATATCTGTGCAAACCAACACTCGCAGATATCAAAATTTTTCACCTGAATTCATACACACAGTTAAATGTCGTATATTCATTCTACAAATAATTCCTCCTTTTCTTTCTGCATTTGCATTCCACCCTTTTAGTTTAGGAGGAACATATTACCCAGGTACTTCAGTCAACCGAGAACGTTTACCTTACCAAGAAAGAGATGATTATTGAACAAGTGAAGAACAGGAAAGCAAAACAACAAATTGAAACAACAAAACAAACAATACCATTTATAACTGCTATTCAGATTGTAATTTGAATCGTTCACACTAACACTGTTTGCTCTGCTTTCTCTTGGTCTTTGAAACTACTATCCCCTCCTCAACAATATATACGTATACGTATGTGTATTTCCCAATTTCGTTAGCATAACGAAATTCAATATACATATATATGTCAACCGGATGGAATAATTTTTATGTGTCTTTACAATTATGATGATTATATAACCTTTTATATTATACGTTTGAAAAAAATAATAAGAATATGAAAGCAAGCTAAAGGTATTATTTTTATTATTACTACCATTCCCTTGGGTTTCGAGTGGAACATCGGGTTTTAGAAGCATATCTGCAACGACAGAAGACAAGGGCCAGACAACATATCGTTTACTGAGAAAATCAACAGATATTTATAGATTTCTTATATACATTATTATTAACGTTATTGTTAGCAGAGAAGCAACGTCTTCTGATTGGTTATTTTCTTGCTCAAGGTTACTCTGTCATCTGCTTATGACCGTTTCTTTGAAGGTCAGACCATACATCTACGAATCGTATCCACCCACACTAAGTCTGCTGTGATTGGTTGTTGAGTTCCTCAAGGTTAAGCTTTGTTATTGTGTTTTTTCGCATGACCTCGATCCGGACGTAAACATTGACGTTAACTGTTGTCTACAATTTCGGCTAGCAGATAGGTCTCACCGCATATCTCCATTTCACCCCTTCTTTTATACAGTCTTCCTTAATTAGCTTAGCGATTACCTATTCGCTTTTATTTCCTCTTCATTGAATCTTTTTCGTGTCCTCCGTCGGACGGTGACGTCTTCGTTTCCAACTCGACGGCCTGTCGCGTGATATCACTCAACGGTCTTCTTAGCTTGCCTCTATTTCCTTAGGCATATTTGACAGACAGTAGTTTGTTGGTTGATAAGCTGCAAGAGTTCCTTGGTGTTTACTTTTTTCAGGTCAGTTATCTCATCTTCATTATGGAGCGTAGGCAACTGTTATAAGGATGGTTACTCAACAAAGAAGATTCTTTTCGATAACCTGCTCTTAATCACGTTCTACAGTCATATATCCATCCATAATAGTGAGTGAATGAATGAATGAGTGTTATAAACAGCATTAATGCTGTTTAAATAACATCGAATCAATAATTGTAATATCGATAGATTACAGTCCAATAGCATCAACATAACAATACATTGAATATCAGAGAAATTAAGAAAGATATTAGTAATACAAATTCATGCATGCATAGTCTCCACCGAAGGCTGGCCAGGGCAGTAGTAGTGGCTGGCTGGACTTGCTTCTTTCTCACACAAAGCACTGGTTGTTTCAGGCGAATTGCGATAGCCTCTCCTGTTTGGAGTATGCAGTGCCTCGATGTTTTTGGCAATTTATTTTTATTTTATTATTATTTCCTTTAGTTCCTAGAGGAACATAGGGCTTCAGCCATGCGTCTCCATTGCGTTCGATTCTCTGCTAGAGTTTTCACCTGGCTCCAGGTCTGCCCACATGCTTTCATCTCCTCTTCACATGATCTCCTCCAGGTCACCCTTGGACGACCAACTCGCCGCTTCCCTTTCGGGTTCCACTCAAGGGCTTGTCTAGTGATGTCACTTGCTGGTTTCCTCAGAGTGTGGCCAATCCATCTCCATTTTTTCCTGCCTATTTGTTTCACAATCGGTTCCTGGTTGGTTCGCTCCCAGAGATCTTTGTTGCTGATCCTTTCCGGCCATCTGATCTTGAGTATTGAGCGAAGACATCTGTTAATGAAGGTCTGTAGTTTGTTTGAGATGCTCTTTGTGACACGCCAAGTCTCTGATCCGTATAGTAGTACTGACTTCACATTGGAGTTGAAAATCCCGATCTTATTTTTGACGCTGAATGATGTTGTCCTCCACACAGACTTCAGAGTAATGAAAGCTTGTCTTGCTTTCCCGATCCTTGCTTTGATATCCTCGTCAGTTCCGCCTGTAGTTGAAACAATGCTTCCCAAGTAGGTGAAGGAGGTAGTTTCTTTCAGGTTTTTTCCATTTATGCTGATTGCTGTCTGTTGTTGTTGTTGGTGTTGGCCAGGGATCTTCATCACCTCTGTTTTTTCTATGTTCACCTGGAGTCCTATCTTTGATGCTTCTTCTGCCAACTTGTTACTTTTCACTTGCATATCTTCCAGTTTGTGGGAAATCAGGCATATATCATCGGCGAAGTCCAGATCCTCCAAGTTCTTTGTGCGAGTCCATTTTATGCCTGTTTCCTCATTGCCCGCTGTCTGTCGCATTATCCAGTCTACTGCAATCAGGAAAATCATTGGCGATAGTAGGCAACCCTGTCTTACTCCTGTCTTCACTTCGAAGGATTTCGTGAGCTTCCCGTTGTGGATTACTTGGCATGCAGCGTTGTCATACAACTGTTGGATGAGATGTATAATTGTCGGCGGCACCCCGTAGTAGCGAAGTAGTTGCCAAATCACCTCTCGGTCGACGCTGTCGAAGGCCTTTTCAAAGTCGATGAAGTTGAGATAGAGAGGTGACTGCCATTCCAAACTTTGTTCAATGATGATCCGTAGTGTGGCGATTTGATCAATACATGACTTGTTACTCCTGAATCCAGCTTGTTCTGGTCGAAGTTTTTCATCCAAGGCTTGTTTGATCCTTTCCAGGATGATGCGGCTTAGTATTTTGCTTGGGATGGAAAGGAGCATAATTCCGCGCCAGTTCTTGCATTGACTTAAGTCTCCTTTCTTTGGTAGTTTGAATAGGTATCCTTTCTTCCAATCCTCGGGTACTTTGCCTTCTTTCCACACCTTCTCTAGTAGTGGCGTCATCAAGTCTGCTGTTGTCTCTGGGTCGACTTTCAATGCTTCTGCTGGGATTCCATCTGGTCCTGCTGCTTTCCCAGCTTTCAGCATCTTGATTGCCTTCAGGACTTCTGATTTCGTCGGGGGGTTGATGTTCACTGGTAATTCTGCTTCCGTTGTTGGTATTGTTGGGCGCGTTGTAGGTGGCGGTCGGTTTAGTAGTCTTTTGAAGTGTTCAGCCCAGTGTTTCCTTTGCTCCACTTCTTTGGTGATTGACTTTCCATTTTCATCCTTCACTGGCTTAATTTGTGACGAATTTTTGCCTGAAAGGTACCTAGTTGTTTGGTGAAGTGTTGCGAGGTCTCCTTTGCCTGCAGCTTGTTCTGCTTCATTGGCCATGGCTTCATAATACTTTCTTTTGTCTTCTCTGGCACTCTTCTTTACTCCTTTGTTCAGTGTATTGTAGCTTACATTCAACTCCTGTTTCTGTTGCTCGTCGGTGCACTGCAGAATTTTTTGTTTCACCATCCTTCTCTCCTCTATTAGCCTCCAAGTGTCCGTAGTGAGCCACGGTTTGTCCTGTCTCTTCTTTCTGCCCAGAACTTCCATGCAGGTTTCGCTCCATACTGTTTTCAGGTTGTTCCAGTGTTTTTCGACGCTAACCTCTTCACTAATGTTGATTTGTGTCTCAGCTTTGTCCTTTATACTTGCAGTAAAGATATCCTTTGTATCCTGGTCCTTTAGTTTTTGAGTGTTGAACTTGGCTTGTGGTCTATCTGCAGCTCCTGTTTCTCTGAAAGCCTTTAATTTGAGTTGGATTGTTCCTTGTACGAGGTAGTGGTCTGAGCCAACGTCTGCTCCTCTTCTTGCTTTTGTGTCCAGTAGGCTGCGCCGCCACTTCCTCGAGATTGTGATGAAGTCAATTTGGTTTTTGGTTCGCCCATCTGGTGACACCCATGTAGCCTTGTGAATATCCTTGTGTTTGTATACGCTGCCACCAATCACTAGTTCATTGAAGGCGCAGAAGTCGGCGAAGAGTTCTCCATTTTCATTCATCTCTCCCAGAGCTTCTTTACCCATGATGAGTTCCCTTCCTGTGTTGTCTGATCCCAGTTTGGCGTTCATGTCTCCCATTAGTATTTTGATGTCACCGGCTGGAGTATTGTCTATTGCTGCCTGTAGTTGTCTGTAAAATTCTTCTTTCTTTTCGAGGTCTGCGTTGTTGGTCGGTGCATAGCATTGTATAATTGACACTTTCCTTCCTTTGGAGTTGAATCTGGCGGTTATTATCCTGGGTGAGATCGCCTCCCATTGTATCAGAGCCTTGGTTGCCGTTGGTGACATCATTATAGCCACGCCCTCGGTGTGTGTGTGGTTGTCTTCTGGGTGACCGGAGTAAATCACTGACTCACCTGTTGACAATTTGGTGAGTCCGTATCCGTTCCATCTGCTTTCGCAGATCCCCAATACTTGTAGTCCGTATCTCCTCATTTCGCTTGCGATCTGGGCAGCTTTGCTAGTCTCGTACATGGTGCGGACATTCCATGTCCCCACACAGACTTTTTCTTTTGACGCAAGGAGACTGTTCACGCTGAAGTTTCTGTAGCAGGTTTGTTTACAGGGTGGGGTTGCTGGCCTCACGCCTGAGTTTAGTCTTTGGGTACCTGAAATAGAAGAAAGGTTAGTGTTGCGTGACCGCAGAGCCCAGGGGACATCTGCTTGAGGCCGGTCACACACGGCCTGGTGTGTCTCAGTAGCGTACTTATCACTTCTGCCCTGTGACACGGCAGCAGAAAGCGCGGTCGTTGTTAATCCGGGCCACGGCCGATCCGGCATGATATTTCTTGGATTCGTTTGGTTCATCGGGTTGGATTGTTGACGACTAAGTCCAGCCCCCACTGATACCGTCGCCAATGTATCAGTAGGTTGTGAGGTTTGACAAATTTGGTTGATGCCCGTTGCTACTATCAACGGAGCTACGCTAGGAACGGTGTGGCGACCCAAGTTATCTCCTACTGATACCGTCGCCACCGTCATATCAGTAGAAGTCCGGTTAAGCTGCCGGTCAGCCTCGGCTTCATTTTCAGCTCCCCGTTGTCCATAACATCGTGGATGAAATGAAAAAGCATGTACATCCTAAGAAACTCTAAAATAGCAGAATACATCCTGAAATTAAAGAAGCATAGCTCCGCAACCGTAAGTCCTACAGGGACGAGACAGGTACCAATTGGTTCGTCTCGTCGAGAGGAATCCAATGGTATATAAATCAGAGGGTAAAAGCTATTCCTAAGAAAAATACGAGGGTTTTCCTGCCTAGCAGTCTCTGCCCCCCTGCTGCCCTATGGTTGGTAATGCCCCCTAGCTACATACACAACGGCATACAACCTGAGGTCGCGG